CCCGTAACTCAGGGAGCTTCTAAGCACATGGAACTCTGACTGGCAGTGAAATCAAGCCTGAAAAGGGTAGCCCCAAACACAACTCCTATCACCTTCACCATTGCACCACACCCAGAACTTCAAGGAAGAAGACAGGCATGCATGTCCTTGAGTTGCGTCCCAAAGTCTGGGACTAAAGGACCCCCAATAGTCTACATACGCGGGATGCTTTTCCAGTAGCAGTTTTCCTGGTTCCTCAGAGGACAGTTCATCTCAGAAAGCTAGACAGAAAATCCTTTGGTGAAAGCAGGCCCCATGTAGGTCAGAGTTATCAATATTATCACAGAGAGTAGGATGTCCATGTCCACTGCCATACAGAGTGACTGACCCTTTCCCCGCAGCCTTCTGGAATGGGAAGAGCAAGTACTGTCATCGATTTTGCAGATGAGCCCAGCTGGTGTGGCTCATGGTTGAGCATAGACCTATGAATCAGGAAGTCACAGTTCAATTCCCAGTCAGGGCACATGCCCGGGCTTCCCTTTTTTCACCCTCTTTACTTGATAAAATAGCCAAAGGCCATAGAGGAATGTGCCCTTTACCGGAATCGAACCTCAGACCCTTCAGTCCACAGGCCAATGCTCTATCCACTGAGCCAGCTAGGGCTCATTGATATATTTAGAAAAGTAATGCACAGAGGGGTCTATAAGCCGTGCATAAGGAGAGAGGATTTTGAGATGAAGGAAATAGGCATATTCTCTAGGAACTCAATTACAGCCACAGGTAATGAGTGGAGGTTAATGTTTCCTAGGTCTACTAGATCATTCTTTTTTTTTTTTTTTTTTATTTCAGAGAGGAAGGGAGAGGCAGAGAAAGATAGAAACATCAATGATGATAGAGAATCATTGATTGACTGCCTCCTGCACGCCCCCTACTGGGGATCAAGCCCACAACCCGGGTATGTGCCTTTGACTGGAATCGAACCTGGGACCTTTCAGTCCGCAGGCCAACGCTCTATCCACTGAGCCAAACCGGCTAGGGCGGGATCATCTATTTAACTCCAACCTAACCAGTGACACTAACCTAGCTGCAAAGGGGGCGTGTTCCGCAGGGAAACCTGGAAGGGTTGACGAGGGAGCCTTGGGCACTGAGCAGAGAGCAGTAGGGCAGGGAAGAGAAGTAGGACTTTGAAGTGAGGGGGGTTCATGGGCTGGTGTCTACCTGTCCCTCATTTGACCCCTTTCTTACATGTTGAATCAACCACTATCTGATCACAAAGCCACCATTTCAGTCACCGGAGACCAGGAGCAAGGGGTCCTCGGCAGGTGGCTTATTATTGGAGATCCCTCCACTGTCGATAATCATTAGGGTTCCAGAATCTATCTGGTCTTGGAAATTGTTAACAGAAGCTTAGCACCCGAGTTCTAGTCACCTGAGTGCACTGCATCAGAAAGGCTGGGACCAGAACTCAGCTGTGGTGCATTTGCCAAGATGTGCCACCCCCCGAGGCCTCCTGGCAAGGCATCCCTCCCTCAGACACCAGCAGAGTAAACAAACAGCAGAGATGCTGTGGCTGCCAGGCCTGTGAGCCAGGAGGGGCCCAGGCAAATGCTTCCTTGGAGCCAGACCCTTCTTCGTGTAGCAGTTCTCCAGCTGCCTTGGGCCTGTGAACAGATGGAAAATTCTCAGTTGGTACTAGGGAAGAGGGAGGAGGAGAGAGGGAGCCAGGGGCAGGTGGGCCCTGGAGCCACAGTCCCTGCTGATGCCAGAGGCATGAGCTCATTGGTACCAGTGACTGGGTGGAAAGCCAAAGGGGATGAACCACCAGCCCTGCTCTCCACCAGGTTCTGAAATCTTGTCTCAAAGTCTGACCACCCATACAATTCTACTTCCTTTATAGCAGCGGTTCTCAACCTGTGGGTCGCGACCCCTTTGGAGGTCGAACGACCCTTTCACAGAGGTCGCCTAAGACCATCCTGCATATCAGATATTTACATGACAATTCATAACAGTAGCAACATTACAGTTATGAAGTAGCAACGAAAATAATTTTATGGTTGGGCCACAACATGAGGAACTGTATTTAAGGGGCCAGAAGGTTGAGAACCACTGCTCTATAGCCTTTGGCTATTTTATCAAGTAAAGAGGATGAAAACAGGAAACACTTTAATATTCTGTCCAAAGATTTGAAATAGTTCCCAGGCAGCAGGGTTTGAATTTGAATGTGAGGAACTCCAGGGCCGGGCAACCCACTTGAGTCTCCTCCCTGAGGCAGAAAGCTGTTCTGTAATAAACCTTTACCTTTACTTTCGCTCAAAAAACAGAAAGAAAAACTCCAGAGGCTTCTGGGACACGGTGGGTGCAGCAAACCCAGTATACTGGGCCCAGCTAAACACCTTGGTTATGAGACAGGAACCCCATCCGTGGATAAAGGGCTGGAAAGAGCAGCCACTAGTCCAGCCGTGGGCAAACTACGGCCCTCGGGCCGCAGCCCGTTTGAAATGAATAAAACTAAAAAAAAAAAGACCGTACCCTTTTATGTAATGATGTTTACTTCGAATTTATATTAGTTCACACAAACACTCCATCCATGCTTTTGTTCCAGCCCTCCGGTCCAGTTTAAGAACCCATTGTGGCCCTCGAGTCAAAAAGTTTGCCCACCCCTGCACTAGTCACATGCAAGGAAGGACCAATTGCAGTTACGGGTCATTTTGATACTAGCCAGGGAAAAGACTCAAACCATGTAACCAATACATTGTTTTTAACGTTTTGTTTTCTCAATCTGTTCCATAGATACTGCTCCTGGCTTTGATAATGCAATGGAGTTAACCGTTAACCGTCTTCAGGACTAGAGTGGTTGAGTAGCAGGTGCTAGGTAAGTCACTTATTAACCTTTCCTGAGTCCAGTCCCACTTCCTCAACTGGGGAGTGGGGATAGAGACCAGTCATAGGGTTGTTGTCATTGCCCTAGATCAGTGTTCCTCAACCTCCCTAAGGGTTCTCAACCCTTTAATACAGTTCCTCATGTTGTGGTGACCCCCAACCATAAAATTATTTTCGTTGCTACTTCATAACTGTAATTTTGCTACTGTTATGAATCGTCATGTAAATATCTGATATGCAGGATGTATTTTCATTGTTACAAATTGAACATAATTAAAGCATAGTGATTAATCACAAAAACAATATGTACTTATGTATGTTTTCCGATGGTCTTAGGTGACCCCTGTGAAAGGGTCGTTCGACCCCCAAAGGGGTCGTGACCCACAGATTGAGAACCGCTGCCCTAGCTGGTTTGATGGATAGAGTGTCGGCCTGCAGACTGAATGGTCCTGGGTTCGATTCCAGTCAAGGGCACATGCCCAGGTTGTGGGTTCCATCCCCAGTAGGGGGCTGCAGGAGGCAGTCAATCAATGAGTTTCTCTCTCATCATTGATGTTTCTATCTCTCTCCCTCTCCCTTCTGCTCTGAAATAAATAATATATATATATATATATATATATATATATATAGAGAGAGAGAGAGAGAGAGAGAGAGAGAGAGAGAGACATGCATGTCAAGAGCTTAGCACAGAGACTGTGCAGAGTAACCACTCCATAAATTGTGTTACTATATAACCTATTGTGGCTTATGTAAACTATAAATACAACCCAAAAGGAAGTAAAATTCCATGGGGGGAAAAAGGGAAGTCTCATTATGACTTGCCTGGAATGGTAAAATCTCTGAGAACGTGTGGTTAGTGGCACAGGTGTGTCTAGAACCAGGTCTGTCCAGTTCCCTCGATTCTATCCACCACGCCACTGGTTTTTCAATGGCTTTTAAGGCTCAGTGACATTTCAAAAATATAAAGTTTTCATTAGGATACAGGCTGGTTGGTTTTTATAAATGTCTTCAGATTTGTCTCACCAATAGCAATAGATCGCAACTTTTGTGAGCACTGAAGTTAAAACTTACATTTATTGTCTTACCAAAGTGTAGAAAATCTAATCATTTTTCAGGCCAGAATTTTGAACTCCACCTGCCTCTTGCATTTTATATACAGGGTGTCCCCCCAAAATATATACATATTTTGAATGATTATAAAGTCAGTGTCCGTTAAACCTGAAAAGGAGTGAAAATTGAGTTATCAGCTGTTAAAGTGTGTATACAGTTTTTTGGGACATCCATATATCTCCATGAAGAGAACTCAGTTGGCAAAAATTTACTGAGTTCTTATCGTATTCCAGGCCCTGAGCTGGGTGCTGGAGACTTCAGTATGGGTGTGAACATAAGAAATAGAAGAGGGAGGGGGCAAAATTATGTAAGAGAGAGATGTAGCAGTGTAGCTCAGTTGGTTAGAGCATCATCCTGATACGCCAAGGTTGTGGGTTTGATCCCTGGTCAGGCACATACAAAAATCAACCAATAAGTGCATGACTAGGCAGAACAAATCAATGTTTTTCTGTCTCTAAAATCAACTTTTAAAAATTGGGAAAAAAGAGAGATGGAATAGGTCACAGGCACTGAAGTTGGAGAGGGTAGGGGTATGGTAGGCAGGGTCAGGCCTGCCAGAAAGTGCAGGGAAGGCCTCATGGAGGAGGTGGTGGGAATTTTTCTTCTAGTAAAACTTGATGAAGCCAGGTCATGGGACTTCCTGTTCGCAACCTTCCCCAGTACCTAGCAGGGATGGAATTAATGATTCGGATTTTAACACTAATGTGGTTGGTTTAACAAGTCAGGTGATTCTGGATAGAGATGATTCAGGAGGCCATCTGGCTCCTTAGCCAAAGCTGCAGCTCCATGTCTTGGTTGACAGATTGGGTACAGAGTGGCAAAGGACTCTGGAAAGGTGTGTTCCCTGGTCAGGCACACAGATCTAGGTTCACCCAAAGGTGTGCTCTTTGAAGCAACTGATTTTTACTTCCTGAAGGTCTTAGACCATTTTCAGCTTGGGGCAGGAGGTGGAATGGTGGCAGTGAGGTGTGGGTTTCCTAATGACAGTCAAGTTCAGGTTTTTGACACACATTACAAGTCAGAGTCAGGAAGAGAATGGGACTCTGCTTTATTAGGCAACATTGAGCATCCATCCTATGAGGACCAAGGCCCATTCCGAGAGCCGGCCCCATGCACAGGAGGTGGATTCACATTTCCCAGAAACGCCCTCTCTACTCTCCTTTTCTCGTAACAAACCCCTTCACCTGCTATCACCCATCTTTACTGTTTCAAGGCTCAGGGACCCAAGAACAAAGTCCTGGTGGCACCCTAAAAGCAAAGGCACCTCTGTAGGACAACTCCTGACTCAAGCCCAGATCTCTCCAGGGGACAGATGACGTGTCCTCAAAACCAACACTTCCTTCAAAATAACATTCTTAGTGTACAAAAGCTGCTGGGCAGAATTCTAGCTCTGCGGGTAGAAAATAAAAAAAATGTAAGAATGAGGAACTGACAGGCGCACAGAGTAATGATTGCGGAGCTTTGTGTCTGTGGGGTAGACACAGGCCCACCTCACTGAACCTGGTGAGAGAGAAACTGCCACCCACCAGGGTGGACAGCTGGGAGTCTCCGCCTTCACACTCCAAAAACGAAGCCCCACAAAAACTAGAGCGCTCCCCCTGGCAGCTGACTCACCACCGGACAATAGCGGAGACAGAGCAAAGATGTAAATCTCATTTTATACCTCCCTGGCAGGCCCCGTTCCACTCTTACAATCGAAAGGCTACTGGGACGCTGGTTCCAGGACATACACGGTGTCTCAGTGCTCCTGACACTTTCAAGAGAGGACTTTTCCTTCATGTGATGACTCAGAATTACAGAAGCTGCTCCACCTTGACCTGAAATCAAAGCCCAGGACAGAGCCAGGAGGAAATGGTGCTGACGTGGGCAAGGGGCCTGGAATGCTAGCAGCTGGGGCTGAGGGCGCCTCAGCCTAACAAAGGGGCAGTACAACAACCAGGCTGCACCAATAGATTTCCAGTATTTCTCTGAGGACTCCGTGGGATGTGGGCCATGCTGTCTTCCGTTCCACGTGGAGAAACACTCCCCTGTCTACCAAAGAGGAAACTGGGGCACAGAGGGATCAGGAGAGAGAAAGTCCATCAAGCCATAAAACGAAACAGAAAAAGACCCAACTTCCCGACCTTCCAGTCCTATACTGTTCTTGGGGTTTGGCTCCGACCACTAAGATGATGGGATCCTAGGAATGAGGATGAGCGGTGGTGAGATTCTGGCACAAATCCCCAAAGACCATTCAGGAAGAATGGCTCTTCTAATGAGACAGCCTTGCTTGGGCGCAGTGGGACAATTCCCTCTCCTGGGCTGGCCCCCTCACTTTTCCTTTTCGCCACATCAATAAAGTTTCTCTTTCGTGTGAGTTCTCTGATGTGTAATGAAATTGGAGCTATTGCTGAAGCCTTTGCCACACTCAGGGCATTTGTAGGGCTTCTCCCCTGTGTGGATTCGTTGGTGTATAATGAGAACCGAGTTCCAGCTAAAGCCCTTCCCACATTCGGGGCACCTGTAGGGCTTGTCCCCCAAGTGGGCTCTCTGGTGCATGACCAGGATGGAGCCCCGGCTGAAGCTCTTGCCACACATGAGACATTCGTAGGGCTTCTCGCCCGTGTGGGTCCGCTGGTGCACCACCAGCTGGGAGCGCTGGCTGAAGCACTTCCCACACTCGCCGCATTTGTAGGGCTTCTCGCCCGTGTGGATCCGCTGGTGCTTGATGAGGTTGGAGCTCCAGCTGAAGCTCTCCCCGCAGGTCAGGCACTCGTAGGGCTTCTCGCCCGTGTGCATCCCCTGGTGCGCGATCAGGCTGGAGCTCTGGCTGAAGCTCTTCCCACACTCCCCGCACTTGTAGGGCTTCTCCACCAGGTGGGTTCTGCGGTGCGTGGCCAGGTTGGAGCTGCGGCTGAAGCTTTTCCCACACTCGCCGCACTGGTAGGGCTTCTCTCCTGTGTGAGTTCTCCGGTGGGTGATGAGGGCTGAGCTCTGACTGAACCTCTGCCCGCAGTCGGGGCATTTGTATGGTTTCTCCCCGGTGTGGATCCTCTGGTGTCTGATCAGGTTGGAGTTGTAACTAAAGCTCTCGCCGCATTCTTTACACGCGTAGGGCTTTTCTCCAGTGTGGATTCCCTGATGCGTATTAAGGCTGGACCGGTTGCCAAAGCTCTTGCCACACTCAGGGCATGAGTATGGTTTCTCTCCCGTGTGGGTTCGCTGGTGAGCGATGAGGTTGGGGCTCCTGCTGAAACTCTTGCCACACTCGGCACACTGGAAGGGTTTCTCGCCCGTGTGGATCCTCTGGTGGGTTATGAGGTTTGCGCTCCGGCTAAAGCTTTTCCCACAATCCCTGCATTTATAAGGTTTCTCCCCGGTGTGAGTCGTTTGGTGTCTACTAAAGTTGGAACCATCACTAAAGCTTTTCCCACATTCGTCGCACTTGTAGTATTTCTCTCCCGTGTGGGTCCGCTCGTGCGTGATGAGGTGGGATTTCCGACTGAAGGTTTTCCCGCACTGGGGACATTCGTAGGGCTTCTCACCCAGGTAGGTGCCCTGAAGGCCGATGAGCTGTCCAGCTTCCCTGCCCTGGGATGGCACTTCCCTGTGGTCTTCACTTGAGGCCTTTCCCTGGGGACCCCTGGAGCCACAGTCTCTCTCAATGTCACTTTCCCAATCAGACTGCTGAACACCTTCCCCTCCAGGTGTTTCTGAGAAGAGCCCATGTGAGTCCATGTCCTCAAATATGTCTTGATTAGAGTTCTCCCCGTTTTCACTCGGGATCTCAAAATCTGAAATGATGAAGAAAAAACATACAATTTACACTCAATTCCCTGTGATGAGAAAAGGAAACCAAGGGGGAAATTTTTTAAATTTCAACTTCTAATGAAAATAAAGAGGCTAAAGAATCCTGAAGACTTTTAAAAACCAGGTTTATTTTCTTCTAACTGGTTATCTAGTTACCAGGCCTCAAACTTCCTGGTAATCACCCAGAATTTCTAAGTCTTAAAGCTGTGGGTTCTGTCTCTACTTGTTTCTCCGCTGGGAAATGAGGGTTAAGTAGAAATTTGAAGATCCTAATCAAGGGAAAGTAACGGGGTACATGACCCCCGATGCACACCATGGTGCCTGATGCTTAGTAGGGGCTCAATTAAATTTGATGAATTTTTTTTTATTGGCATCACAGAAATTTCCCTAAAGCTGACTCTCCTTTCAAAAGGAGCTTACATAATAATCTCATGCATTAAAATATGCCTCATGTTTATAATCTTAGTTGGCATATAAGACAGACAAGACAGGACCCCTGCAAAAAGGGGTCTGGTAATCCTCCAGATGACTGGAAACTAGTAAGGGGGCAGTTTACAAAGCCCTTAACTTTATCTACAGTGTGCCTATACATGTATTTCCCATCTGCAATACAAAATACCTACCTTCCAGAACCTTGTCAAACCCTCTACTACCCAGTACTTACCAAGCATTTGGGTGAAAGAAATCACCAGGGAGGCTTTCTGGAAGAATATGCAAGCCCTTCCTGAGACTAGAAATTCTCATGAATCTATCCCAGGATTAAGCCAGAGCCGCAGAAAGCTGTGAGCCGGGGCCACACTGTTCTGACTCCCCTGGGAACACGCGCAGTGAACTGTGTTGGTGTGATGGCTCTGGCTGATTGTGACAAACATGATAAGAAGTGTCCTTAGTACTTAAGGGCTGTCAGAAACATTAACGCTGCCAGGAAGTTGCCGATGACATTGTTTGTTACACACGATGTCCTCTTGATGAGCCCAAGGAGGAAATCACCCTCGGACCAAACTACCGAAACGCTGCTCTCCTGAGCAACCAATTTGTGTCGGCCTCACTACCCAGGTTGTGGCTTTGTCTTTGCGTTGCCTGCTTGGAAACTTGGAGCCAAAAACTCAGAGCAGGAACACGGGATGGCTTTACAGCATGCAGTGTGTGTTCTTTCATTTTTCCCTCCCATTATGTTCTTTTTTACTATAATTTCCCTGTGCACGATTTCTATAAGGTGTCTTCAATTCTTTCTTTTTTTTTAATTCTGTAGCACATTTAGAAATAAATCAATGGTTTATTGATAAAGACCATTGCCTGAGTATTTCTAAGACCTAACATCAGACCCCACTTAGAAAAGCAAATCTAGCCCAGCCGGCGTGGCTCAGTGGTTGAGCATCGACCTACGAACCAGGTCACTGTTTGATTCCCGGTCAGGGCACATGTCCGGGTTGCGAGCTCGATCCCTAGTAGTGGGTGTGTAGGAAGCAGCTGATCAATGATTCTCACTCATCATTGATGTTTCTCTCTCTCTCTCCCTCTCCCTTCCTCTCTGAAATCAATAAAAAATATATTTAAAAAAAGAAAAGAAAATCTATCCATAGCAGGGAAGACAATTAGCAAAATAATCACAAAGTCCTAGTGACATTTCCATTATTAAAGCTAATAAACTACATGTACAGTCATGCTCAATTCAGTGATTAGTTTCTATGACTTAATGTAAATTTCCATTGATGCACAGGATTAAATTTGACATGTATCCTTTAGGTAGAACCTGGGTTCCACTCATGCCTTTAGTCAATATAAAATTATATTTAAACCTGCAAATAGGCATATAATTACAATTCGTGCTCACACTGACATACACTGCTGGTGATCTGTGAGTACGTATGATTGCCCTCTGTTCCACGTCCCCTAGATCTCCAGGGTAGGGGTGTAGGCATGACGGACACAATGCTGGTTCCCACCTGGCCAGGGCCAGTAGGTCTCTGGTTCCTCAACTTCCTGCAACAGTGTTTTGCAAGTTTCTAGCCCAGAGATTTGCTATAAAACAGGGCCTCCAGGTTGAGACCCCGGTTTATTTTCTACAAACTCACACAACCAAAAACATTTTTTTTATGACTTTACTAACTGTTCTCTTCTGAGTAGGAACATTCGCTATTAAAGGCTTCGCTGCCTTAACATCTGAAGCCCTGGTGTGTTCTAGACCAGTGATGGCGAACCTTTTGAGCTCGGCGTGTCAGCATTTTTGAAAAACCCTAACTTAACTCTGGTGCCGTGTCACATATAGAAATTTTTTTATATTTGCAACCATTGTAAAACAAAGACTTATATTTTTGATATTTATTTTATATATTTAAATGCCATTTAACAAAGAAAAATCAACCCAAAAAAATGAGTTCGCGTGTCACCTCTGACAGGCGTGTCATAGGTTCGCCATCACTGTCCTAGGATGATCTCAGAAGCAACAGGGAAAACAAACACTCAAGCTTCATTTCAGTGAGATCAGGAAGAGGGTTAATTTGCAGACACTAATATATGTAATATATCAGGAAGGGCGTGAATATTCTTCCAAAAACAGCGGAAACTGTGCAGAAGCTAGTGAGGGAGGGAGAGGGAGGACAAGCATGGAGAGCAGTGTGAGGAGAGGGCCAGCACCCAGGTGAAGGAGATCCCCAACAGCTCGGGCAGAAAAGCTCTTTCTGAAGGTAAGGACTTGCCTTCTAGGCAACCCTGCCTCTGGGGCTGCGATAGGCAAGGCTGGCCTCTTGGGTTCAGACAAGAAAAGGAAGTGAGGCTGCAACCAGGATCACACAGAATGGCCACCTGAGGACAGCGCCTCTGACTCTCGGGCAGTAGTCATGGGAGTTGTTATTATGGAGAAAAGTGGCAATTTTTCATCCATAAAAAAAGTTAAAGCCCTAGCCAGTTTGGCTCAGGGGCTAGAGTGTCAGCCTGCGGACTGAAGGGTCACGGGTTCGATTCTGGTCAAGGGCACATACCTGGGTTGTGGCTCGATCCCCAGTAGGGGATGTGCAGGAGGCAGCCGATCCATGATTCTCTCTCATCATTGATGTTTGTATCTCTCTCTCCCTCTCTTTCCTCTCTGAGATCAATAAAAATATATATTTTTTAAAAAGTTAAAGAAAGCAACTACCTCTGTGCAGAAAGATCCTAAAGGAGAACTTGAGGAAGAGACGGTGAAACAATGAAACATGAGCTAGCAAAACGCAGGAAAGGAGCCCTAACCAGTTTGGCTCAGTGGATAGAGCGTCAGCCTGCGGACTGAAAGGTCCCAGGTTCGATTCCGGCCAAGGGCATGTACCTTGGTTGCGGGCACATCCCCAGTAGGGGGTGTGCAGGAGGCAGCTGATCGATGTTTCTCTCTCATCGATGTTGCTAACTCTCTATCTCTCTCCCTTCCTCTCTGTAAAATATAAATAAATAAAAAATTAAAAAAAAAAAACCGCAGGAAAGGAGGGGAAAATCCCGAGAAATGAACACAAATGGGAAGAAACACAAAGGAATACAGGCACCAGGGAAAGCACAGACATGGAGGAGGGATGAAATGAGAAGAGCAGTGAAATAAAATGGAAACAAAGGAAGAGGTGAGAAGGATCAAAGAGAATGATAGAGACAGACGTTAGACAAAGGAGAATCAATAAATATAACTGGAATTCTCAAAAAACTAAACCACAGGAACAGAACAAACAGCTTCACCTATGAAGATATAAGAACTCTTGAAAGGCACTGTGTGTGCCAAGGAAAACTAACCCAGGGTGGTTCATAATGAGACAAAGGGTAACAAGGAAAAAGATCAAACCATCATGGGGGAGGAAAACCAACGGGTCTCAGATTTCTCTGCAGTAACACTCAATGCCGACAGATAGTGCAGCAGCAGCTGCCAGTTATGTAAGAAAAGAAACGCATGCCAAGGATGTTATGTTCAACAGGGCTGTCCTTCAAGTATAAAGCTGACAGGCAAATGGCTTTGAATATACACAATTTCATGGACTACTGGTCCCATGAGCCCTTCCAGAGGAAACTATTAGGAGATGAATTTCACTCAACCAAGAGATAAAGGGAACTGGAGCACAAAGATTGGGGATGAACATCTGATACATATAACTTTAGAACAGAAGTCTGTAAGAGCCATGGCAATTAGGGTGTTAAAACAGAATATAATTGTTATGCAGAGATGTAGAAATGATACTCTAATCAAAATTGGGGTTGAGGGGAAAGAAGATGGAATACAGGATAAGTTCGTTGATTGCCTTATCCTATATAATCCTATATAATAAAAGCCTAATATGCTAAGTGTCCGGTTGACTGGTCAGCTGTTCAACCAAAGTGTAATATGCTAATGATATGCTAAGGCTGCTCAACTGCTTGCTATGGCGTGCACTGACCACCAGGGGGAAGACCCTCCAACCGGTAGGTTAGCTTGCTGCTGGGGTCCAGCCGAACAGGACTGAGAGAGATGGGCCCAACAAGCCCTGGAGCCCTCCCCAGCTGGCCAACCTCCCATGTCCCTCCCCAGCCCCGATCGTGCACCAGTGAGGTCAATTGGCCTGCCCTGTGCCCTCTCGAAATTCAGGACACCTCAGGGGATGTCGGAGAGCCAGTTTCGGCCCAATTCCGCAGGCCAAGCCGAGGAACCCCACTGGTGCACAAATTCATGCACCAGGCCTCTAGTCCATAATAAATACCTGGAAGCTCAAAGGGTATCATTTATTTATTTATTTAATATTTTTTTATTGATTTCAAAGAGGAAGGGAGAGGGAGAGGGAGAGAGAGAGAAACATCAATGATGAGAGAGAATCATGGATCAGCTGCCTCCTGCACTCCCCCTACTGGGAATCAAGCCTGCAACCCCGGCATGTGCCCTTGACTGGAATCGCACCTCGGACCCTTCAGTACGCAGGCCAACACTCTATCCACTGAGCCATACCAGCTAGGGCTGAATGGTTCTTGAATTGCCATAGGACCTCTTCCCTATGGGTCAGTAG